GCCCCATGCGAGAGCAGCAGGTGGCGTGAGGCCCGAGCCGAGCGGGGAGAGGGATCGCGGGAAAGGGAGCAGGGCCCTGTGGACCTTCAGCGCGGAGCTGGCTCCAGCAGCAGCGCGGAGCTGGCTGCAGCAGCACCCCGCAGCTGGCACGGCTGGTGCGGTGCATCGCACGCACACGCATACACAGCTGTCAAACCTGGTCTTGGGATACCCAACATCTGGCAAGGCCTGCCCCCTACCCAGCTGGCTGGGCCGGACAAGAGTTCTTGCGGAAGTCAGAGCCTGGCAGATGTCCTACTCCTTAATACTCCTGCCCCCACCCAGGCCCCAGTCTCATCATTTCCCATATGCTGTGTTCTGTTACCTCTCAGGGTCTTTGGGTCTCCTCTTTTTAGTGGGAGAGACTAAGAACAGCTTTGCCAGCTGGGTGGGGAGTGCTAGGGCCTCTTTCAGGCCAAGGCAGAAGCTATCGTGAATTGTGGGGGGCTGGGGTGGCAGGACCATCTTTGGGTTTTGGAGATTTTGGCAACAGGCCAGGGGAGGAGAGCGGGTGGTGGGGGGAGGCCTGACTGCTCCTCCTTGTCCACAGACATGGCCTCAGCCCCTCCTCACACCAAGATTTGACCCTCATTTGGCAACTTCCTCTAGAGTCTTACTGGCATTGGAAGAAGCCTCCTGGCACAGAGGCCTCTCAGGAGGTCCCCAAGTTCTGCTCCCCACTAAGCCCTAAATGCTCCCCTTCTAGATCACGCAAGGTGTCCAGGTAGCGCCCTGGATGTAGGCAGCTGCTCCCACTCCCCACTGATTGAGATGAGCCATTATTCAGTAAAGAGGGGACAGAACCTTCTAGAGGTGGGAACTGGAGGCCCGGGCCCTGTGTCTCCCCCAGGCCCTGCTGAACCTGCAGACCTAGGATACCTCCCTCTACTCCTGCCCCTCACCCACAGCCCCTTTGTGATCAGGCCAGTTTTGGGAAGACTAGATACCTTTTGGGCCAGTCCCCAAGTCCCATCTGCCCCCACTTCGTGCCCCAGGTCATGCTGGTGGGGGACTCGGGCGTGGGGAAGACCTGCGTACTGGTGCGCTTCAAGGATGGGGCTTTCCTGGCAGGAACCTTCATCTCCACCGTGGGCATCGACTTCCGGGTAAGAGTGGAGGCTGATGTCTCAAGCACTGACTGGGCCCAGCCATGCCCTGGGCCCTAACACCAGCTCACTGGGTTTTAACAACACCCCTGGGCATTTGGTTCTCCATTATCCCTGTGGCACAGACAGGCTCAAGAGATGGAGCTCCCGATTGAGGTGTCCCACCTCAGCCACCTGACTCCCACGGTCAGTGTGGCTGAGGTGGGACACCTTAACCACCAAGCTGCCTGCCTCCTGACACCCCAAGTGTCTTGGAGACTGGTGGTGGCTGTATCTGACTGAAGCAGAGATGATACCCCTGTGCCCAGGACTGGCATGATCTTGGGGGCTGTATCTTGTGCCTTGTGGGGAATGGGTGCTGGTGCTCCTACGGTGGTGGCTATCAGTGGGAACTCAAGATCCATATCCACTCAGGAGGCCGGCATCACTGCCCCATTGTACAGGGGGCCCTGAGGTGCCCGGTGGCCTGCCCAGGACCTAGAAGACAGGTGGCTCTGGTACTCAAGCACACACCCTGTCCTAGAGCTGGGGAGAAGTCCCTGCCCTTGGTTGGGTGAGGAGACTCATGGGAAATGCACCCACCTGGCTGTTTTCCCCTGCCAAAGCCAATCACCACCTTATCCCCTGCCAAAGAGCCATGTCCTGGGGTCCTTCTGGAGGGGTGACCCTGGACTCTTGGCTCCCCAAGAGCCACTCCAGCACCCCAAGCAGCCTGTGGAGTCACAGGGGAACGATGGTGGCCACAGCCCTAGGCCTGTGGGGCTCTGGCATCAGTCTTAATTCCGCGTGCCAAGGTGCTGGTGTGTTCTCAGCAAATCCCAAATTTGCATTTTCTCACCCTTTAATTAGACCCAGTCAGCAGAAGGCTGGGAGAGAGGCTCATTGGGGGACTGGGAAGGGGGGTTCCCTCCAGTCTGGGGAGCTGCTCTCTGCCCTGTGTGGGGAGGAAGAGCCCCTCAAGTCCTCTCAGGTGAAGTAAGGGTTGAAATACCAGAAGGGGGAGGTGTAGGCCTGGCCCTTTGCCTGTTCTGGCCTCACCTCCCCGCTTCTCACTTCCCTCTTGGCTCTGGGGGCAGGTGGTGAGGGAGGTGAGGCTGTGTGGTTCACACCCCCGCTCAGGGTGCCAGGGAAGGCGGGGTGTCCTTCCCAGCCTCCCTGCAGCTGGGCAGATGGCTGCTCTTGGTTCCCAGGAGACCCAGAAGCACCCTGACAGCAGGAGCTCAGCAAAGAGGGAGGTGGTGAGGATCCTGCCACCTGGGGCCTCTGCTGGTGGTTAGTAGCCCCCTGCCCCCACCCTGGCAGATAGGAACTGGGGTTGGGCCCCTCCCTGTCTCTAGTCTTGAACTGGGAGGGCCAGTTAGGGAGCATCGCCAGCCAGCAAGCACATATCAAACATCCACTGGGTACCAGGCCAAGTTCTGGACACTGCTAACTGCTTTGGGCCCCGTCCTCAGGGAGCTGCCTGCCGTCTGAGCTGGGAGAGGGGCTATTAAATCACAACAAACCCTTCAGCCCTACTCTGGGCCAGACTCAGTTCTCAGTGCTTTGCATGTAGTAGATCTGAAAGTAACTGGAGCAGTCATACAATGGGCACCCTGTTTCTCTCCATTTATGGTGGGTGGACTGAGGCAGAGTGTTAGTAATGGGCCTGGGGTCACACACTGGTCAAGCACGTGGCTCTAAGCAAAAGGAGCAGTGCGTGCAGGGCTGTGAGAGGTGCCTGTGGCCTGTGAGAGGGGCTGGGGCAGGGCCTTGAGGCCTATGAGCGCAGGGGTCTGCATTCTGCACTGAGCACAGGGGAGAGGGGAGGTGTGTAGGGTGCAGCTGAAATGGGAAATAGGCACAGGGAAGCTGGGCACCAAGGAGAGGAGGGCAACTAGGGTGAAGGAGAGCAGGGGGAGGGGGCTGGGCTTCAGAGACGCTGTGGGAGGTGGTACAGAGCAGCAGGACTCAGTGACTGATGGATGGATGGCGACAAGGGGCCCACGAGGGCAGTGGAGCTGGTGGGGCTGTGTGCCAGGCCTCCAGGATGGGCAGGGGAAGAAACACTTGGCTCAGAATTGGACACAGCAGGCCAGGGAGGGTGGCAACCTTCAAGTCCATCAGGATGACCATCTGAGCTGGAGTGGCTTGGGCACCCTCAATGCACAGGTCACCAGCAGGAGGTGTAGCTGGTATAGCGGGAAATCTAGGTGGACTCTTGGACTTAGATCCAAGTGGAAGCATTATTTGCAGGTAGAGTGCAGCAAACCAGGAGGTGGGCATTGGAGGCAGAGCCCAGCCAGCTGAGGGACCCACAGGATAATGAATTCAGGGGCACACCAGGGGCCCCCTGGCATTGCCTGCCTCCCCACCCTATCCTTGGCCCCCCCTTGCTCCCCCTCCTCTGATGGAGGGTGGCATGGGTCTAGCTGCTGCCTAGGATGGTGCATTTGGCCCTGGGCCCTCACTGGAGCTGGCTGGTTGTGTTTCAGAACAAAGTTCTGGATGTGGATGGCACGAAGGTGAAGCTGCAGGTGAGGGGTGACTGGGGGGAGTTGAGGGCAGGGGGCACCTGGAGGGACTGGGCAGCCCTGACCGCTGGACCATACCCCTTGCCGCAGATCTGGGACACAGCCGGCCAGGAGCGGTTCCGCAGTGTCACACACGCTTACTACCGCGACGCTCATGGTGAGCTCGTGGGCATGCAGCCCCAGGGAATTGGGGCCATGCTCTGTGGGTGTTCTGCTCCCTAGGCTTCTGCTTGGAGGAGGGTGCCCAGGGTGTGAGGGAGGCAGAAGCGCCAAGGGTGTGACATGTGAGGGTGTGGGTGATGGATGGGGAGCCGCCGTGGGCTTCAGGGGGTATCCTCATTTGCCCTCTGCCCCCAGCACTGCTGTTGCTCTATGATGTCACCAACAAGGCCTCCTTTGACAGCATCCAGGTCAGTGGCTTCCTTCCTGGTTGGGGTGACAGGTCATAATGGAGCTTGACCACAGATGGCATCAGGGTTCCAGAGTTCTGAGGGCCCTACTGATAGTGGGGAGGAGGAAAGAACCCTTCTTCATGGCCCAAGTACGGTGGCTCAGGTTGACCGTGAGCTGCAGGGGGGCCTGAGTGACTTTCCAGTTCAGCAGCCCAACACCTGAGATAAGGTACCTGTTGGATTCCCTCCGGAACAGCACACAAGGAGCACTGGTTCTGATCCTCTTAGCCAAACACTGAGAGGCACCCTGTGGCACCCTGTGAGGTGTCCTGGAGGGGCCAGGGGTTGCCGGGAGCACTAGCTTCCAGCCTGGCCTCAGCTCTTCCCGAACAGGCCTGGCTGGCAGAGATCCAAGAGTACGCCCAGCACGACGTGGTGCTCATGCTGCTGGGGAACAAGGTGGGCACCCCAGCCTGTCTTCTCTCCCCTGGCTCTGCAGGGGGAAGGGTGGTAGGGAAGTGAACCCGGGGCCAGCTCTCACCCAGACTCTTGTGCCAGGTGGACTCTGCTCAGGAGCGTGTGGTGAAGAGGGAGGATGGGGAGAAACTGGCTAAGGTGAGTTGGGGTTTGCAGCGTGGCCAGGGGGTGCCCTTGAGGCTTCAGGGCTGTGGCTGTCCCCATCAGTCTGCAGCTGGCTGTTTGCAGGAGTATGGGCTACCATTCATGGAGACCAGCGCCAAGACGGGCCTTAACGTGGACTTGGCCTTCACAGCCATAGCAAAGTAAGTCCTGCCAGTCACCAGGAAGAACCACCCCCCCCCCAGACCTAGGGTCTGAATCCCTTTGTTGGAGGCATAGGCCACCCTGTTCCATGGTCATCCCTGCCCCACAGGGAGCTGAAGCAGCGCTCCACGAAGGCCCCCAGCGAGCATCGCTTTCGGCTGCACGACTATGTCAGGAGGGAGGGCCGGGGGGCCTCCTGCTGCAGACCCTGAACCTGGCTGGGCACGGCCACTGGGGTATCCTCCTGGAAGGCTGGACAGAGTCTACATGTCCCTGATGTCATCACCCAGCAGTCAACCCCAGGGTGTCTGTTTCTAACAAGTCCACATCTGGGCAGCCATCTAGACCCTTGGTCCCAATAAATGGGCCTCAGGAAGCCAAAGGGTCCACAGGCCTCCTTCACCTTCTCCTGCTTGAAGGCTCTCACAGAAAAGCAACCATCTTCTGCACCAGATGGGCCCCTACAGTGTATAGACTGCCGGGTGCCTCCCACCATGGCACTCTGCTGCCCCCTCCTGGGCACGCCCAGCTCTGAGGAGCATGCATCCAGTGCCTAATTGCCTAGAAAGCCATGTCTTCTGCTGCATATGCTGCCCAGGAAGGAAAAAGCCTAATTCCTGTCCATGCCTGGGGCAGCGGGCCTCACTGCAAATCACATCATGCATCTGTGCTCCAAGGACCAGAGCGGCCTGCTCATGGCCCACCCACTAGGAGGCCCCGGCTGCCAACAGGGTCTTTCACATTACCTTGGAGGATGCCAAGGCTGTGGCTTTGTAATGCAGTGAATTGCATGTGGGAAGTCACAGAAATGTCAGGGAAACTAGGACTGCCAGCCTTCACCTGCTGCCCAGGGTACCGTACTGGGCCCGGCCCACAGCTGAGGCCAGTGCTTGCTGTGGTCAAGCCAGGGGGTGGGCAAGGAGCTCCACCTCGTACTAAAATCTTCAAGTCAGTCTTCTGAGAGCTTTTGTTTCTGGTCCTAGTGAATAAAGTTGTGTCCAGTGGAGTGCCTGCCTTGTCCATTGAAATAAAGCGACTGCTCAGGTCCTGTTAGTTCATGGCCCACCCCCAGGGCAAAGGCACAAAAATTTATTTTTTGGCCTCAGACAAAAATAAAGAAGGCCCTTCAAATAGGTGGGAAGTCACTGGTATGAACTTCCATCTTCATGCCTCTACCCCTTACTGAGGACTGCCCAGAGAAAGCCAGTCATCCCAAGGAGCCCTCTGGGATGCAAACAGGTGTGAAAATAAAGACACATGTGCTCTGATCAACTCACTGCCTTTGCTTTATTGTTAAGCTCTTCAGATATGGACTCCCGCCTGACCCCCAGGCCCCTGGAAAGATGTAGACTTACCTCAAAGTCTTCAGCCAGGTCACTGATGGCTCTGACATTAGTGGGCCATGTAGAGACCTTACAAGGCCCAAAACTTAGATGGGATCTTGCCTACCACCCAAGAATTCTCAGTGGAGGCAGGAAAGGGAAAGCGCTCCAGAGGGAAAACGTCAGCTAAGGCCAGTCAAGAC